GTGGTGGTGTGGTGATCAGAACATTTGTATGGAGCTGAAGAAGGTGTGCAACCACCCTTATCTGCTGCACGTGCCTTCGCACCACCCACAGGAATACAACCAAGGTCACACATACACAGATATATACACACACATGCACACAGACGTCTCTGTGCATGTCTGTGTCTGTGTGGGGGATTGGATTGGTTCAGGGTTGGTGTACTCCAGCGGGAAGATCTGTCTGCTCGACCAGCTGCTGCAGCGTCTGAGGGACAAGGGCCACCGGGTGCTCATCTTCAGCCAGATGGTGCGGATGCTCAACATCCTCTCCGACTACCTCACCTCGAGGGGCTTCAGACACCAGGTGTGTGTAGATGCCCACACATCGCCCACACGCACAGAGAGAGAGAGAGAAACGGCGTCTCATGATGCATTGCGTCTCTGTGCGGTGGATCGCATCGCAGCGTCTCGACGGCACGATGCGCAAAGATCTGCGGCAGAAAGCCATGGACCACTTCAACGCACCAGGTGCGTCACGCGGCCTGCCTCAATGGTGTGGTTTGAATGATGACGTGTGTGTTGGTGTTGGTGTTGGTGTTGGTGTTGGTGTGTCAGGTTCTGACGACTTTTGTTTCCTGCTGTCGACCAAGGCCGGCGGCCTGGGCATCAACCTCACGTCAGCCGACACGGTCATCATTTACGACAGCGACTGGAACCCTCAGGCACGCCACACCACACCACACCACACCACACACACACACGATGGCTCTCTGCATCAGCATCAGCCAGTCCTCCCATCTCATGTGTGTGGTGTGTCTGTGTCATCAGAATGACCTGCAAGCTGAGGCGCGTGCGCACCGGATCGGCCAGACCAAGACGGTCAACATCTACAGGCTGGTGACCAAGGACTCCATCGAGGGCAAGATCCTCGAGAAGGCCAAAATGAAAATGGTCCTCGACACGCTCGTCGTCCAGGTGACAACACCCCCCCGCCCCCCGCTCCACTCTCCTAACACACACACATTGGTCGTCTCTCGTTTGTGTCGTTCGTCGGTCGATCAGGGGCTGAACAAGCGCGACACGAGCCTGCAGGAGATGGAGTACAAGAACTCGCTCTTCGGCGGCGCCTCCTCCAACAAGCTTTCCTTCTCCCGCGAGGAGCTCGCCAAGATCCTCAGGTTCGGCGCGCAGAAGCTGTTCCACCAGAGCGACCAAGACGACCACAGCAGCAGCACCCACCATCACCACCACCACCACCACCACAAGGCACACGCATCGGCCTCTGCGTCGGCTTCGAGGATGCCTGGGGAGCCGCTGAAGGACCGAATGGCGACGGTCGATCTGGACAAAGTGCTGGAAGAAGCCGAGGAGGGCGGCGTCACACAGACAGGTGACTGTAGTCTAATGTAGTGTGTGGCCACGTCGACACACAAGACACTCTGTACTGTACTGTGTGGTGGGTGTGGCAGGTTTCGCCGATGAGCTGTTCAGCTCGTTCAACAACATCAGCGACTTCCGGTACCAGGCCGCCCCGCCGTCGGCCGATGACGATGACGAGGCAGAGAACGACAAACGGTTCTGGGAGAAGGCCATTCCGCTCGCCAAGCGCCAGCAGTAAGCGGCAAAGGCACCACAATCCCACTCGCACGCACACAGACACACCCGTGTTGGTGTCTGTCTGTCTGTGTCAGGGTTGACGATGAGAAGCGCAGCAAGCACATTGTCCACGGCAAACGATCCCGCCCAAAGACTTACAAGTGCGATTCCTCCAGGCCCTCCCACACACACAAGCATACAACCACAACCACCACCACCACCGCCACCACTTACCTCGGTCTGTGTGTATGTGTGCGCAGGAATAGCAAGGCCCAGCCGACCGCCGAGGACCTCGGCTTAGAGCCCGATGAGGCCGAGGAGGCCGACGCAGCAGACGACAGTGACGACGAGGAGATCTTCAGGAAGGGCCGGAAGGGGGCCAAGTCCAAGGGCAAGGGCAGGGGCAAGGGCCTGCTCACCGGCAAGGAGCGGGTCAAGCTATTCCGGTAAGCTCGGGACGACACGACACACGCATGACACGTGCGCATGGCTCTGGGTGTGTGTGTGGTTGTGTGCGGCTCAGTGCGTTGTGCAAGTTCGGCGACCCCGAGTTGCGTCTCGACGCCATCATGGCCGACGCCAAATTGAACAAACTGGACCCTAAGGTGAGCTGATACATCCATCGTGTGGGTGGCAGTCAGTCGATCGGTCCGACGCATGACGCTTCTGTGTGTGGCCGCCATGGCATACAGGGTGTGCTTGAGGAGGCCCGGCAGCTGGTGGCTCAGTGCCAGAAGGCCGTGGAGGAGGCCGGCATCGACGCGCAGGACGAAGCCGCCGAAGACAAAACCGTGAGCACACCAACTCACCCATCCACACATCAATAGACGTCCTTCTTTCCCCGTCAATCAGGGCGGCGGCAAGTCAGCGACGATAGAGCTGGACGGCAAGCCCCAGAAGGCCGACGAGCTCATCACCAACCAGCGGCATCTCAAGGCCCTCAAGTACGCCCTCGCCCGGCAGAATCCCGAGGTGCCCGTCGACCGCCTCCACAAGCTGCCGGGCAGCGATCCGGGCAATGGCGGCGAGTACCTGCGATTCGCCCTGCCGGAGGACATCAAGGCCGAGTGCAAAGTGCCTGATGGGGTGAGCTGAGCAGACGGAGGAAGAGAGAGAGAGGGAATGCAGAGGGAATGCAGATGGACATAAACTCGTGTTTCTGGCGCGTGTGTGTGTGTGTGAAGTGGAAGACGATCCCGTGGACATACGAGACAGACGAGGCTGTCCTCAAGGGCGTATACATCTACGGAATGGGCAGCTGGGCGGTAAGCAACCACCACAACTTACCACAGCACACCACAACACAACACATCAGACCACGACACACAACGTAACCAACCTCTCCTCCGATGTGCTCTCTCTGCCTCCGGCCGCTCTCAGACCATCAGCAACGACCCCCTGCTGGCCGTCCCCAAGCACGAGCACCGACCCGACCGCATCAGGAAGCGCATGCAGCGCATGATGCAGCGACTCGCAGACGCCGACGGCGGCGGCAAGAAGACCTCCTCACCCTCCAGCAAGAAGAGACCCCCCAGGCGGCGCGACACCCGCCGTCGACGCGAGACCAAGGCCCAGCGCGAAGAAAGGGAGCTGCGCGAGAGGGCCGAGGAGGTGGCCGCTGCGGCGGCGGCAGCTGAGATGGAGCAGGTGCCATCGCAGGAGGAAGATGCACCTGTGCCTGTGGTGGCACGAGAGGAGGATATGGCGCGTGAGGAGGGGCCTGCGCGTGCACCTGAGGAGCCTTCTGCGACGGCAGCTGCGATGGAAGTGGAAGTGGAGCGGGCCGACGAGAGCAGGGCGGAGAGCAGAAGCCGGGGCGGTGGGAGTGCGGCGTCGGATGATGGCGAGGGCAGCAGCAAGAAGAAAGACAGAAAGATGAAGAAGAGAAAGCGCGATGAGGTGAGTGAGATACGTACGGGTCTCAGGAACGGGCAGCATCTCACTGTTTGTTTTGTGTTCCCGTCTATATGGGTGGCTTGACCAGGGTGGTGAGGATGGGGAGTCCAGGCGGTCGAAAAAGAAGCGCTCGACTGATCGTCCGCCTGAGGACATGCCAGCCTCCATCAGCTGCGATGCCATGAGCGACAAAGACCTCAAGGAGGCCTGCAAGTACGATCCCACTCACAGCGGCACGTTCACAGCTGGCATGCTCTCATCGTCTGGGTGGGGTCGTGCATGGGTGTGTGTGTTTTTGTAGGGCTTACCTGCGGCCCAAGAAGTGGGTACTTGAGGCCATTCGTGAACTGAGCAACCCCGGGGTTGCCAACAACGAGGCGCACGTCATCACCAAGATGCGCACGTACCTGCCCGACGTCGGAGAGGTACACACACACACACACACACACATACAGACACACAAACCGGCAGCACAGCACACCCATGCTCGCATCATGGCATGGTGCTGTCCGTGTTGCCTGTTGTGTTCCTCAGTATGTGGATCGGATCGTGTCTGCCGGTGCTGACGCCAAGAGCAGAGAGAGGCTGCAAGAGACCTGCTGGAAACACGTCTCAAAGTGAGGGAGAGGCAGGGAGAGAGAGGCATGTGCTTTGCTGTCAACTCGTGTGCGCAGGTTCACTGCCAAGGGCTCGAGCGGCTGGCAGGACATCATCCGGACATACCAGCGTCTCAAGGCCTCTCTCTCGCCCCCCACGCACAGCAGGCCTCCGGCCTCGCAGCCCAGCCCAGCACCCGCCCCACCCTCCCAGCCCACCACACACCCCAAGCCGGCCACTGAGCCTTTCCAATACGTGCCCGTCAAGGATGGACCACGCAGTGGAGATCAGAAGGGGCCCACTCTCAACGGTGACGCGTCGCCTAGATCGGTCGACCCTGAGGCGGCCCCTCGGCCACCGCCGCGTGTGAGTGCGAAGCCCGAGCACCCCGATCGCAAGGCGGTGGTTGTCAAGCAGCCAGTGCTTGATGAGGCCGATGCTGGTGCTGGAGTGGGCGTCTCCGTCAAGCAGGAGAGAGTGCCAGAGGAGGGGGAGCTTGGCCCCACACCACGGCTGGACGAGCGACAGAGGGATAGGGAGAGGGAGAGGTCACGCTCACGCTCACGCTCGCGAGACTGTGGGAGGCATCATCATCGGCAATCGCACGACGAGGAGGATGAGGAGCTCGACCAGCGATTCGAGAGGCGCCGCAAGACACGCCGGTCGCCATCACCATCACCACACAGCAGAGAGCCCGAGTCGATTGACTTGAGGATTAGTGGGGCGTCTATAGGTCAGCAACAGCCCCAGTACGGCAGCTAGACAGGGGAAAGAGAGGGCTACTGTGAGTGAGTTAGTCTTACTGTGAGTGATGAAGTGGGGCGATTGTTAGTGAATGCATTAGATGGGGGCGGGACTCTGGGGGGAGGAGGGGGGGCCAATTCATCATTCTCCATTCTGCGTTTTTGAGCTTCTGGTCCAGCGGCTTCCGACACACTAGCCCTTGCTTAGCTTGTTGCTGTTGGTGGTGGTGGCTGCGTATCGCTCTGATGAGTAGCCTCACGTCAGTCTTCGCAGTTTGACGCAAGCGGACTGTCCTCGAGGTTGCTCAGCTCAACTCGTGCCGGCCGTGATTCACACACAAATGAACCGAGGTGGACACCACATCGATTCCCAGCTGTGTCTGCTGAATGCAATGCGTGACTCCTTCCTTGCCTGATCGCAGGTATCGTAACCCTTTGCCTTGCCGCAATCATCAACCAACACGCGCTTGCTTGATTGTCTGTCTGTCTGGAACGTGCAGCAAGATGTTCTGTTCCACACCTCAAAAACGCACCTCAGGAAAAGAGGGGGAAAAAAAGAGGAAAAAAAAGAAAGAAAAGGAAAAAAAAAGAAGAAAACACACACACAAACACATCCGACCCTCAGTGTGCCTTCCTTTTCTTGTGCTTGTCCTCGGTTGCTCGCTCCTCGTTGTTGCCCTTGTAGACGAAATCCTGTAGCAAGTGGCAGCATAGAGAGACATGAGAATAGAGAGTGTCGCTGCTATCATGCTCGAAAAATTGGTGTGGTAGGCGAGAGCCACAGGTATGTATCTTCAGCAGCAGCTGATGGATGGATGGATGCCGTGATGTGATGCCGTCTCCCTCATTCCCTCGTTGTCCATCTCGAATAGCTGACATAGCCATCGGCACGAGGAGGATCTTCAGTCAGCAGCTGATGGATGCATGAATGGATGATGCCGTCCGTGATGTGATGATGCCGTCTCCCTCCCTCGTTGTCCATCTCGAATAGCTGACAGGTTCACCTAGTCCTGCGAGCTCAGGATGCATGCGTGCAGGCGAGATGAGACGTCTCGCTTGCCGCCCCCAGCCTTTCAGCTTCTTTCAGCCCTTTTTCCGAAAGAGCCCATCGCTGATGCTTCTCCACATCCCTTTCCACACCCCTACGGCGTCCTTTTCGCATCCGGCGCTGACCATTCCCATCAGCTTCAACGCCGCAGGAGGCACCGCAGGAGGGATTCCGAGGGCAGGAGGTGCAGACAGGAGGATGGGCAGCCGAGGGCTGCAGCCCCCGAGACCAAGAAGGGTGAGATATGAAGGAGGAGGCACGGAGAGCCAAGGGGAGGGCGGGGGAGGGCGGGGGGAGGCTGAAGGCATTTTGTGGTGGATGCTTGTGTTGGATGGATAGATGGATGGGTGGGCTGGTGGGTGGACGGATGCATCTGCATGGGATGTGCGTGTATGCAGATGCATCGTGTATGCAGATGCTGCATGGATTGGATGCGTCCGAAGATGCACGATATGGACGCATTCTCGGTGTGTATGTGCCCTGTGGACACTCCATGTATGCATTTGCAATGAAATCTTCGAAAAATGACCATCAGACAGAAAATGAATTCCTTGCACATTTCGGGCGGTTTCTGTGCGGCCCTTTAATCAGCGAATGTCGGCGCACAGAAATCACGGTTTCTGTGCGCGTGCCAGAGGGGTGAGAGTGACGCTCGCCGCCATGGATTCTCCATTGGACAGATTCATCGTACATTTGGAGTCGCTGCATGTTGATTTCACGACTTCCCATGTATCCTGTCATCCATCCATGCGCCTCGGCTGGCAAAAGAGCAAAGATACACAAGTCAACAAGGCACCAGCGGTCGTCCATGCATCAGCCGCCGGCTACAGAAAGAAGCTATTCAATCGAATCCCCCACGCCTAAGACGGCCAAAGACAGTGCAGACATAGAAAGACAGTCCGACAGACAGGTAGGCAATGACAAAGAAGCAGCTACAGAGAAGAAAGACAGAGCTGCCGCTGCAGCCCGCTGCAGCCCGCCTTCGTTGTCATTTGGCTGCAGCCAAAGAGCTGCAGCCAAAGAGCTTCGGTTTTCCTGGCCAACCAAAGAGCTGCAACTCTCCTGCTGCCGAGAAAGAATACGCAGCTGCTGCCGAGCAAGAGTGAGAGTACGCCCTCCATGCAGTCCCAGCCAAACGCCTACTGCATGGAGGACAGAAAGACAGAGAGACGGACAGAAAGACAGAGAAGTACGAAGACGTCTTGAAAGGCCTCTCACCCGCTTGCCTTCGGAACCCACCCATCGACGAAACGAATCGATGTATCCAACCTTCGTCGGTCACCTTGACCTTTCGCTTGAGGATAATCATGTGAAAGTCGACTTCGGCTACCCCTGGTGGGCGTGCATATGACCGCGGGATCCGGGTGAGGGAGTATTAAGAGTAGCACAGGACCTGGGGAGAGGCCAACGGGGTTTCGGTGAGGGCTGTGTTGCGTGTGTTTTTTGAGAGTGAGTGAGGGGGGAGGGGGGTCGGTGTCTGTGTGTGGGTGTGTCGTGTGTTTGGGTGGGTGGTACCTGCATACGTGTTGGTTGTGGTTTCAGGAGCAGGCCGCCTGGATGGACGTCTGCTGCAAGGAAGCTGCATGAATGAGAAAGGGAGAGAGGCGACGAAATGAAGCGCTTCCTTCGCCAGTGGATCTGCGTGTTACCTGCCGGGCGAGGCGTGTGGTTTTGGGGCGGAGATCTGTCTTCTGCAGCGACCTCTGCAAGCTAAGCTCGCGATCCGCTGAGATCTTCCCCAAGCAGACCGACAGAGAGATCCACAGGCTTCCCTCTTTTCTCTGTTCGTGTGTCTGTGTCCTTCAGTCTTCGCAGTTTGACGCAAGCGGACTGTCCTCGAGGTTGCTCAGCTCAAACTCGTGCCGGCCGTGATGCACACACAAATAGACCGAGGTGGACACCACATCCATTCCCAGCTGTGTCTGCTTAATGCAATGCGTGACTCCTTCCTTGCCTGATCGCAGGTATCGTAATCCTTTGCCTTGCCGCAGTCATATCATGATTCTCTTTTTTCTCCCTTACTTACGTACCTGTGGGGCCGTCGGGAAATGCGATCCATGCACAGCAGCAGGACGACGAGAGCTTCATCGATATACTTGTAGCAAGTGGCAGCATAGAGAGACATGAGCATAGACAGTGTTGCTGCTATCATGCTCGAAAAATTGGTGTGGTAGGCGAAAGGTGAGTCTGTCGAATATAAAATGAAGACAACAGTTCCTGACAGACTCACCTGACACCATACAATGGAAGGCGATAGATATCGGCCAAGATATAAAATCTACGCAGCGATACTCCCTGCACACAACAAGTGGAAGAAAGAAGAATGCGCACATCCCTCATGCTGAGATGCCGCCTGCCGCAACGAGCTCGAGGAGGCTGTCCACTACCTCAAAATGGGATGTAGGGCTAACCAACACACACACACACACACCGATGGAAAGGACAAATCGGTCCATCATATGGCTCTTTGCTCCGGCGTACAAGACAAACCTGTGCAGCTCATCATGTGGTTGATTCGTTTGGACCGCACCCCCTAGCACTCACACACACAACACAAACAGGTATGTGGGCAGGTCATCGACTAAAAGACATCAACAGAGCGGCGTAGCCCAAAGCATGGATCCATCTCCACCCACTAAGCAGGATCACTCACTCACCTGACAGGTACTTGACCTCGTCATCAGGGTGCTCCTCTAACGCCGCTGAAGGCATCCCACACTAACCACGGTGTACAGTACACGGTGGTGGCGGCCGTGATGTGTCGGCGATGAACTTGAGTGTGATGGACCTACTGAAAAGCAAAGGAGAGGGCCACACCATGGAATGCCGTGCGGATGCTATTCGTCAGTGTGGCAGCATTGGTGGCAGCCAACTGTGAGGCGTACTTGAGCTCTTGGGTTGACCTGCCTAGTGGCTGAAGGTGCAATCCTGACAACACTTGAAGCTTGTCCAGCAGGTTCTTGTTGTCGTCATTTACGGCCGTCAGCTCCTGCGCACACACCACACGGCATCCAGATTGGCATGTTTTTAGGTCGATGATCTTACCTTGTTGATCTCAGACTTTTCCCGGCACACACGCAACAGCTCCTGAAAGACAGGGCAGCAGAGGTTGTTGGCAGCCATTAGCCCGCCTTCCCTCTCCCCTACCTGCTCAAGTATCTTCTCCTTTCTGGCCCACTCGTCCCGCTCGGCGCGCAACTTGTCCTTAAGGAGACGAATCATCTCCTGAGAGTCGAAGCAAAGATGGGAACACACAGATGCTTACCCACATCCTGTCAGGCAGGCGTACCTTATCGCTGCCTCCATCTGGCAGCGTCATCAACGCTGTGAGTGGAGGCCGTGGGCTGGCCAGTGGGGTAGCGGGTCAGATTGAGGAGGCGTCTCTCGGGGGCTTCAGACGAAAGAGAAGAGACATGAGCAAATCTTGATTATCACCTCTTTTGTGTCTCCCTCACTTACGTACCTGTGGGGCCGCCGGGGGCAGGCGTGGATGATTTAGTAGGCAGGCGCATCGGAGATGTAAGATGGACACGGCGATCCATCTGCACACAGACACGAGACACGTACACACGACTTGATGAGCATAGTATACTTCGACAGCTCACTTTTGATGTGCGTGGCGGGACAATGCAGTGCGGTGGAATGGGTTGTCATCGGCCGATCGAATATAAAATGTAGCCAGCGATCTGCGCACCACCCGTTCACAGAGAGAAGAGAACAGAAGACAAGTCTTTTCGTGGTTGTGCCACTTCTCCTGGGACGGCACAGGTCAACACAAGAGACACGTGTCTACCGATGGATCGGCGTCCTTTGGCGGCGTACACACATGATGCGAAGCGGCGAAGGGGAAAATACGCCGATCGAATATAAAATGTAAGCAGCGATGGACCGCCTGTAGACAAACAGGCCGGTGGGCATACAGACGAACTCGTCGGCCTGCTTTGCTCACCTACTGCGTGGCGTTGGCGGCGTCACACAGCGTGAAAGCACACGAGTGAATGAGTGGATGTGTGTGTCCATCTGCCTACTTTCTTCGGTGCCTTCTTGGTGGGCTTCGTCGGCTCCAACTTGGCTGTCAGCAGGGGGGCCGTGACATTGGGGGCCTCGATGATTCAGAAGGGATTCTGCACACACACAGACATCCATGTCGGGCATTTAAGGGTGTGCGTGTATGTGCGGGTATCTTTGTGTGGGTGTCTGGTCTTTGCGTACGGGGTTCGGCTTGGCTGCGGCAAGTTTCGCGAGGAAATCAGGGCACTGCAGATACCCATGGCCGGCGCACCCGCACCAGAAACACACCTGCTGCATACACATTGATATGCGCACACAGAGAGATACGCAGACAATGTGGTGGCTGGATGGATGCGTACGTGTGTGCTGCCTGCGCACCTTGAAGTTGAACTTGACCCTGGTCGTGGGTACACTTCTGCACACACACGCAGAGGCGTGCATACGTCGATGCTTCACAGTAGCGAATCATCAGGCTTGTGTGTGTGTGAACTTTACGTCCGTCGTGGACGGACGCACATCCTCCTTGGACCCCAGCTCAACCTCAACGCCCTGGAATCATGAGACACACACGCACACACACACACACACACATTGATGGGCAGCCATGGAAGCATCTGTGTACGTGTTGCTCGTCTTGGTGCCGGTGGGGGTGCCGGGCTCCTTAACCTTCTTGGAGAGGTTGTCCCACACTGTCTTGCCCTTGTTCGGCATCGTGGAGCAGGGGACTCCGAAGTCCTGTGAGCAGCTCACACGCACACAGATAATTACAGGCCTGCAGGCACGTGTTGATCAGTAAACAGCTCACCTTCGATGTGCAAACGGCCAGCAAGGCAGTGCGGTCCAAAGTCGTCATGAGTCCATCGAAAATGAAATGTAGCCAGCGATCTGCACACCACCCACACAAAGCGAAGAGAAAACAAAGTGTTTCTTTACGTATTGTACAATCATCCACCCAACCACCCCCTCACCAGCAGCACCGCCACAGTTGGTCAGTCAGTCTGGGTGCACGTGGTGGCCGCGGAAAGTGCCAGATCCCCCGGCAGTTGATACAGCGGTTGCACCAGTGCACGGGATCCTCCTCCTCAGCTGGTGTCTCGTAATGGTAGCTGAAACGCATGCCTGCAGACAGACAAACAAACACGGAGACATCACGCATTAGCGCATGCGATGCATCTGTCTGGACTGCTCGACTGCCTGCACCCTACCTGTGTCGCCGAGTGGAATCCGAAAGAAATTGCGACGGCCGTGGTCGTGCTTGCGGAGGTGCTGGTGGTAGTTGCGGCCCAGCACCAGCAGGGACCGAATCGACCTGCACACACGACACACCCACACACAGACGCTGGCCATGTTGTGAGTGGGTGAGTGGATGTGTGTGGAAGGATACCGTTTGCGTCGCAGTCGTCTGAAACACAAATCCACAGACACAAATGCATGATTGAAGCCGTCATTCCTCTCATGCTTACCTTGACTGTTGGCTTCTTCAAGTTGGCAGCTGATTGTTGTCTTCCCTGGCAGCCGTCAACTCCGATTCCGGAGTTCTCGCGGCATGAGTGAATGAGTGGATGTGTGTGCCCGTCTGCGTACCTTCTTCCGTGCCTTGAGCTTGAGGTTGACGATGCCCTTCGCGGTAATGATTCAGAAGGGATTCTGCACACACAGACAGATAGCCATGTCCGGCATTTAAGGGTGTGTGCGTCGGTGTGTGTATGTGTGGATGCCCGATCTTTGCGCACCTCGCCTTCGGCTGCGGCGAGGTCCTTCATCATGGCATCGTGGTGGTTGTTGGTGCACACCTGCACACACAGGGATAGACGTACGTCGATGTATCACAGCAGCAAATCATCAGACTTCTCTGTGTGAGCTTTACCTTGGTCGACTCAACGCGCTGGAATCATCAGAGACAAACACACATACACACAGAACCACATACACACATTGATGGGCAGCCATGCAGGCATCTATGCTGGCGAGTGTTGCTGTGCGTACCTTGGTGGTGGCGGTTGTCTTTGAAGGCTTGCTCTTGGGGGGGCCGTTAGTCCACTTCCCCTTGTCTGTTGGTCTCGGGTGTGTCACTTCTGCAGACCTCGTCGGCCGGCGTGAAGTCCTTCAGGCTGTCCTGGGAGCCTGGCTGGAGAGGGTACTCCCGTCAGACACACACAGCCACAATTCATCAGACATCCATTCGTCAATTGTCTGTGTGTCGTACTCACATTCTTATCGAACTGAGAAACCTGTGATCAGAGCACACACACACACAGACACACACAGACAGACAGACAGACAGACAGACAGGGACAGGCATCTGTATGCGCGTGACTGCAAGTGTGTGTCACTCTGCGCACCGTGTCGTTGGTGTCAGTGCTGGTGGTGGTGCTGCCCGTCGGCGTGCGAGGCTCCTCGCTGACAACCTGCGAAAGATCAAGACCGCAGGAACGGCTCTCGACATGGCTCCTCCTTCCCTGTTCTTCCCTCATCACCCTCCCTCGCTTTGCATACCTTCACGACTTCACGCCACTCCTGCTTAGGTGGTGGCTGCTGGCGACCACGAGCACGACTACGAGCACGACCACGACCACGAGGACGACCACGAGGACGACCACCCATCGCGGACGGAGAGCTGCAGGATCCAGCCAGGAACCGACAAGGGTCTCCACATGAATGAATGGATGTCATATTCGGGGGTTATCAGTCCGCCGAAGCGGCCAAATGTGCGAAAGCAAATAGAGGAGACATGAGCGAATATGTCTTCTTACTTATACGTACCTGAGTGGCCTTCCACATAATGCTTGAGCAACGCTGCCATAAGACTTCTAAGGCAAAAGGGACAGATGTCAAGTGTTCGTCACGACTGGCGGCTGGCCTACTCAGAAGCTCCGCTTCTGTCTGAAGACACAGCTCGGTTTTCTGGTGAAGAAATCGGTGAGCGTTTCTGAATACGCGACTACCTTTATGGCTCCCATACGCATGCTTTCTTGTTGGTCAGGAGGCTGTCGTCGCTGGGAAAACTTCTCCGCCGGCTGCAAGACACAAATATGATTAGGGGAATCTCTAAAATTGTCTCTTTTTCTCGCTTTTTTTCGTCGGACCGAAGGATCGCCCATCTGAAAAGCAGCAGACAGGGAAGCTGACGTGCGCGTCAACACCAGACTCAATGAGGCAGTCACCCACCTCACCAACCTTCAGAGAAATGCGTCGAGAAAATGAGACAGGAATGAGAAGAATAAACCACCAGCCCATCTGCACACACAGACATGACAAGGGGAGGCATCTGAGCACACGCATGGCAACAAAATGCACCATGCATTCATCCCTACACATCATCCACACACCACACCATCACCACACCCAACAAACATAACACACGAGGCCACACTCACATGTACTCACCTGTTGGAGGTCGGTTTGGGCAAAACGAAGGCGCGTGCGCACTCTGCAGGCGCCAGGGAGTCGCCAGCCGCTCAGCAGAAGGCAGGGCGCCATCAAACAAGGCCTCGTCCGGGGCACGGCGGTGGAGGAAAAAAGTGGCGGATGACATCCGGACGAGTTGGAAGGAGTAGAGGGAGATGCGGCGGATAACACAAGCTAACAACCAGACGAAAAGAACAACAAACGGAGGAGATGTGGCGAAACAAGGCTGCAAAGCCGAACTGGGACGGAAAATGTGAAGAATGTGGCCCGCAGTCTCGTAAATCATTCGTCTCCGTCTCACCTCACGAAAATCTCGCCGCGCTTGGATTTCGTTTTCTGCGGACGACAGAAGGCCATAGAGGCAGACAGGGAATCTCACGTGCACGTGAACATCAGACTGAGTGAGAAACTCAGCCACCTCACCAATCTTCAGAGAAATGTGTCGAGAACAAGAGACGGGAACAAGAAAAAAGCCACCCGTTCATCTGCACGCACAAACACGGCAACAGGAGGCATCTGAGCACACGCATGGCAACGGAATGTACCATGCATTCATCCCTACACATCATCCACACACCACACCATCACCGCACCCAACAAAGATAACACACGAGGCCACACTCATATGTACTCACCTGTTAGAGATCGGTTTGGGCGAAAAAAGGCGCGTGCGCACTCTGCAGGCGCCAGGGAGTCGCCAGCCGCTCCGCAGAAGGCAGGGCGCCAGCAAACGAGGCCTCGCCCTTGGCACGACGGTGAGGAAAAAAGTGGCGGATGACGTCCGGACGAGTTGGGACGGGTAGAGGGAGAGGCGGCGGACAACACAAGCCAACAACCACCCAAAAAGAAAGAGAAACGGAGGAGATGTGGCCGAAACAAGGCTGCAAAGCCGAACTGGGACAAAAATGTGAAAAACGGCCCGCAGTCTCGTAAATCATTCGTCTCCGTCTCAGCTCGCAAAAATCTCGCCGCGCTTGGATTTCGTTTTCTGCGGACGACAGGAGGCCATTAGAGGCAGAGAGAGGGAGAGAGGATTGCTGCTGCCGCAGATGAGGTCAGATCGCGTGAAAGCCGCTCACTTTGATGGAATTTTTTTCACTTTTCGGCTGGCCGGATGGCGGTCTGACGCCGAGATGCGCCTGTCTGGGTGCGGAGGTTCTTCAATTGCCCTCTAGTGGATCCTCAGCAAGGCTCAAAGCACTTGACCAGCCAGCCATTGTGGACCGGAACAGCTCGATTTCTTGTTGACCTTTGCAGAGCGATGAGTTCACGTCATGGTTTGCGTGAGTGTGTGTATGGTGAGATGACCTTCACCTTCATCGGCACTGAGTGGATGCCTTCAAGCTTCATGGAATGACCTCGAAAATGGGATCGCCTCACTGACATCAACAGCCCAGACACACATGCACCGATCCTGCCTCCTCACCACCTGGCACACAGCGATGGCATGGCCGGCACCAGGCAGATAGATTAGCCACCAAAGCCACGACAAAAGAGCAGTGAGAGCAGTGACATCCACGCCCTTCTCTCCCTCATGTGACCACCCATATGCCCTGCACGAAAGATGACATGTAAGTCAGTGAAGACTGGCTGCCGAGCCCCAGTTGTGTCTGTACCCATTGTCGTGAGGCTACAGTGGCTCAATCGATTGGGTAACATCGATCACAAGGCGCCAGGAAGAAGCCACACGGACCGACAGGCGCTCCCCATATTCGATAACAGATCACTCCCTCTTCACAAGGACTCCTGACACTCAGACAAGAGACAAAGCGGCCCCTGGCTATTCGACGAACGGGTCACGTGCGTGTTATGTTGCTTACGGGAGAGCAGCGACATCGGTGGCTTTC